TTTGCCAAATAGCCCCCTGTTTTCACATATTCCAAAGCCTGACAATGTGTACGGCATTTCCATTGCTCCTTACCACCCACCGCCCAGAGCAGGACAGGGGGTCAGATGAACTGGGCCAGTTTCTTGGGGCCTTTTCGAGGGGAGGCCTGAGGTTTTCGGCTTTTCACGGCATCTTTAAAGGCCCACTCTCCCTCCTGGGGACCTGCGGGGCCCGGCCGTCTCGGATCTCCATCCGTGAGCAGCCCAGGGCCTGAGTGCCTCCCGCCTGGGGTGGGGTGGGGTCGGGGGCTTCAGTTGAGTCACTTTCTTTCTTTAAAAAAAATTTTTTTTATTGATTTCAGAGAGAAAGGGAGAGGGAGAGAGAAACATCAATGATGAGAGAGAATCATTGGTGGGCTGCCTCCTGCACGCCCCCCACTGGGGATCGAGCCCACAACCCAGGTACATGCCCTTGACCGGAATCGAACCTGGGACCCTTCAGTCCGCAGACCGACGCTCTATCCACAGAGCCAAACCGGTCTGTTTATTCCTAACGCTGAAGGGGCGAAGCAGCGCTGTACTCACAGTTGGGAGGAAGGCAAGGACCAAGGTGGCGACCGTGATCTCCACAGTGAGGATGACAACCATCCACAGGAGGCTCTGGAAGACACAGCAGGGGCGCTGGGCGCTGGGAGCTGCTGGGCGTCCCTGCCCACCCCTAGGCCACATGGCTGCCCCGGGCTTGGACGAACGGACATCCAGCGGGGTAGGGGCCTTTATTTCTTTCATGTGTCACTTTCCTATTTGTCCAGGTTGCAGGGTAGACTTGGGAGCCAACTAGCTGGACCCTCACTTCACACCCAGCACTGTATGGGCTTATGTGGCAGCTGTCGTAAAGGCTGTATGTTGCAGGGACGGGGGTGGGGAGGACAGAACAGAAGCAGGAGGAGGGGAGAAGTCTCAGACCCGCTAATGTTTGAAGAGGGTGACAACTGAAGGGGAGGGGCAGGGGACAGGTCAGTGGGTGTAGGAAGAAAATATCAACATTCGCTGCCTAACGTTTCCAATAAGTTCACTTGCACAGTGGAAAACGATGGGAAATTTGGCAGGCAGAGGGGCGGTCTTGAGTTACCCATCAAGGAGATGCCGCCTCCCGCCCAGTGTCTCAGGTTCCCCGTCTGCACAATATGGCGGTGGGACCAGCTCTAGGGGTCTCGGTGGATTCTGTGGAGCTTGAGGCCAGATGGGAGCAAAGTAAGGTCAGCTCCTGGCTTTCCTTTCATGCATTTCCATTTGTACCTATTATTACTATTATTACTAGAGGCCCAGTGCACGAAATTCGTGCATGGTGGGGGGGTGTCCCTCAGCCTGGCCTGCATCCTCTCCAATCCAGGACCCCTCGGATCGTGCTGAAAACGACAGTTGGACATCCCTCTCACAATCTGGGACTGCTGGCTCCTAACCGTTCGCCTGCCTGCCTGCCTGATCGCCCCTAACTGCTCTCCCCTGCCGGCCTGATCGCCCCTAACCACCTCTGCCTTGGCCCCTGCCACCGTGGCTTTGTCCGGAAGGACGTCCAGAAGACGTCTGATCTAATTAGCATATTACCCTTTTATTAGTATAGATTATTAAAGACCTGTTTGATGATTTAGGCTGAGTCACCTGGCTTATCTGGCCCTCACACAGAGAGGAAGGAAAGTGCAGTGGATACACCCCGGGGTCCCCACAACCCACAGGGGTAAACGTGGGTGCAGGGTTTAGCAGGTGTAGGATCCCAGATGAGTGGCTCATGTAGCAGATTATAAGGATTAATATTAATATCAATGTCTCTCTCCCTGCCTCTGGGTGACTAAGATAACCAGGCGTCAGCAAGTTCCAGTGGCTCTATCTTCAGAATCTATCCCCAATCTGCCCTTTCTCACCCCTCCCACAACTCCACCAGGTCTAGCCTCCACCATTCCCACCTGGCCCAGCACAGTGCCTCTGCTCTGGGGCCCCCACTGTTCCCCCCATGGACACCAGAGGGCGCCCATGAGCACCAGCGCCTGTGAGCACCTGCGTCCCAAAGTCCCTCCTCTGCTCAGAGCCTTGTGTGGCTCCCAAATCCATCAAAAAGACTTTGCTTTTGTGAGTGAGGTCTCAGAGGCTTTGGAGGGACAGAGACTGGTGGTAAAGCAGGTCGGATTTGCAGCCAGGTTGGATGTGGGGTTGTGAGAGGGAGGACTCTGATTCCTCCAAGTTAAACTATGGTTAAAATAATGTCCATATCACATTAAAGATAAAATGAAATATTGTAGGCACAGGACGTGGCTAAGAAATATTTGCTGAGCTCTAACCGGTTTGGCTCAGTAGATAGAGCGTCAGCCTTCGGACTCAAGGGTCCCAGGTTTGATTCCGGATAAGGGCATCTACCTTGGTTGCAGGCACATCCCCAGTAGGGGGGTGTGTAGGAGGCAGCTGATCGATGTTTCTAACTCTCTATCCCTCTCCCTTCCTCTCTGTAAAAAATCAATAAAATATATTTTTTAAAAAAGAAATATTTGCTGAACCTAATTAAGAAAAGAAATTGAGGCCCTAACCGGTTTGGCTCAGTGGATAGAGCGTCGGCCTGTGGACTCAAGGGTCCCAGGTTCGATTCCGGTCAAGGGCATGTACCTTGGTTGCGGGCACATACCCAGTGGGGAGTGTGCAGGAGGCAGCTAATCAATGTTTCTCTCTCATCGATGTTTCTAACTCTCTATTTCTCTCCCTTCCTCTCTGTAAAAAATCAATAAAATATATTAATAAAAAAAAAAGAAAAAAAGAGAAAAGAAATTGAGATGATGGAACTTCAGGGAGGAGGAGGGTGGGGGCAGGGTGCTCTAGGAGGTAACTAGAGGAACCCCCAAATTGAAATAACCAGAGACTGGTAGCAACACAGTAGAGGAAGGAAAACAAACACACTGGAGACAGATTAAACATAAAGTGGGATAATCTACTCCAACAAGAGTCTAAGGGAAATGAGAATGGGGACACTGGGAGCTGGATTTTAAAGAGATGGTTAGCCAAGGCTGTGTGTGAAAATAAAGCATGTAAAATCTGGGACATGCTATCTGCATGGTCATGCTCAAAACGTTCATACCACATGTACTTGAGCATGTACTTGTTCATGTATGACGATTCACAGTGTTGTGTTAGTGGGATGGAAAGAACAGCATGCCCAGAACAGACACAAACACAATGGAAACTCATGTAGACAGAGGAGGACCAGAGGGGCCACTCAGTAAGGGGGACAGTATAAATCAGATCCCTACCTCACACCACACACATGGTTAAACTCCAGAAGGCTATGGGGAGAAAACCTAGGAGAGTATAATTCATGACCTTGGGTAGGAAAGGAGTTCTACTAGTAAGTGAGACACATCATAAAGGAAGAGATGTATGTATTGATGCCATCAAGTGAGACACCATGAACACTGTAAATGGGCAGGAGGGATTTGCAGTATGAACAGTAAAGGATTTGTATGTGCAGGGAGAGTTTTGGGGTTTGCCTGCAGACCCAACTTACAAACAAGAGAATGCCTCTGCTTTCTTTGGTTGTGCCATACCACACGGTGAAGCCCAGCAGCACTGTGAGGCAGCCCAGCACCAGACACAGGTAGCTAACGTGGAACAGGTATACGGACGACAGCCCGAGGACTTTTGTGAGGACGGCCCCTCTGAACTTGACGTAGATGCCCAGGGCAATGAGGATCACGCCAGACACCTTTAGAACATGAATCAGAAATGGAAAGGCAGCCTGTTCGTTGTTTACAAAAGGAACTCTCCTCAGGGAGGGACAGGAGAGTGAAGGCCAACATGATCAGCAAAAACATGAAAACATTGATCACACCCCGTGTCGGTGAGGATGGGGAGAAACATTCTCATACGTTTCTGCAGGCAACAAACTTTATTTTTTGGGGGAGATCGGGGGGAAGGACACTTGCAATTTATATTTAAAACCTTAAAGGTTAGCCCAGCAGGTGTGGCTCAGTGGTTGAGCATCCACCTATGAACCAGGAGGTCACAGCTCTATTCCCGGTCAGGGCATAATGCCCGGGTTGTGGGGCGTGCAGGAGGCAGCTGATCAATGATTCTCTCTCATCATTGATGTTTCTATCTCTCTCTCTCTCCCTCTTCTTTCCTCTCTGAAACCAATAATAAAATTATATTTAAAAACAAACAAAACAAAAAATCCTTAAAGGTTATATGGTAAGAACCTTTACCTAGAAATTCCATTTCTAGATATTCAGCCTAAGGAAAAGCCACATACTTGCCTCAGTACCAGGATGTTCCTTAAGGACAAAGCATCAAATTACTGAAGCAACCAATAAGAGAGCGGATAGGTAAGTCATGGCAATGCAGTGGCACCACACACAGTTACTTTAAATGATACTCTAGGACAGGGGGTGGCAATTTTTTTTCTGAAAATACCCAGATATTATGAGCTCTGTAGACTATAAGTTCACTTTTATCTAATTCTTACCTGAGGATATATTTATATAGATTTTTAGAGAGACAGAAAGGGAGAGAGAGAGAAACATCAACATGAGAGAGAAAGCATTGATTGGTAGCCTCCTGTATGTGTCTGGCCCAGGGATCAAACCAACCCAGGTATGCATCCTGACCGGAAATCAAACCTGCAACCTTTTGGTGTACAGGGAGGATGCTCCAACCAACTGAGCCAGCCAGCCAGCCAGGGCTGTACATTCTCTTTGGAAAGCACTCAGCTATGGTGGTGTACATCAAAAGCAGCCATATTTAATTTGTAAACAATTTTTTAAATTTACAAATATTTTTTATGTATCTATCTATCTATCTATCCATCCACCCATCTATCTGGGTGTACTGTGCTGACCCCTATTGTAGGAAAACGTTTATTAGTACAAAAAGATGTTTTCAATGCCTTAGGAAGTTTTTATTTTATTTATTTTTTTATTTTTAACTTTTATTAATTTCAGAAAGGAAGAGAGAGATAGAAACATCAATGATGAGAGAGAATCATCCTGCACACCCCCCCCTCCCCCACTGGGGAATTGAGCCCACAACCTGGGCATGGGCCCTGACCGGAATCAAACCAGCTGAGTGATGGGTTTTTTTGTTTGTTTTGTTTTGTTTTTAAATATTTTATTGGTTTTTTTACAGAGAGGAAGGGAAAGGGATAGAGAGCTAGAAACATCGATGAGAGAGAAACATCAATCACTCCCCACCGGGGATGCACCCGCAACCAAGGCACATGCCCCTGGCCGGAATCGAACCTGGGACCCTCCAGTCCACAGGCCGACGCTCTATCCACTGAGCCAAACTGGTCAGGGCTGATGGTTTTTATTGAGCAATGTTCCCACAATAGGCATGAGCCCCTTTAATGCGCTGTCTCCTTTCTTCCTTTATTTATTTATTTATTTTTATTTTTTAAAATATATTTTTATTGATCTCAGAGAGGACAGGAGAGGGAGAGATAGAATCATCAATGATGAGAATCATGTATCAGCTGCCTCCTGCACACCCCACACTGGGGATCGAGCCCATAACCCGGGCATGTGCCCTGACCAGGAATTGAACTGTGACCTCCTGGTTTATAGGTCAACTCGCTGTCTCCTTTCATTCCCATCAAAATGTCACAGCACAGGTAAGGAAGAGGAGTGATACTGAATATCTTTCTCTTTCCGGGCAGCCTGTCCTTATCCTGCTCTACTATAAGAACAATCACTCCTTGAATAACGCACATGCTGAGTTATTTTTATAGTAAGAAAACAGTGTTTTGAAAAATTTAAAGGACCAGAAAATGACCACTCCCTCCCGCCCTAACAACACGCTTTCGCTTTCTGCCGGATTTGACTTAGAGCCAAGAGGTCCTCGGCTGCCTCTGGGCTCCCAGATCACACTCGTCTGTGATTTTCACCCGCTCTGGGTCAGTGGAGGCTACCCCTGTTCCCAACATGTCCTGCCGCTCCTCAGCCTGCCCTACATTCCTCCCGCTTCCCTGGGGACCACAGAGCTGGATGCCAATGAATTTGGATCAACTTATTTCTGTCTTCGAGGGAGTTAGCCGTGGAGGAAGGGCCGCGAAGCCTGGGGGCCTGGGTTGTGACATACTTACAGCCATGAAGCCATTGAGGAAAAGTAACCGTCTCTTCAAGGAAGAATAGCGGGTGTGCATTTCAGCCATGTTGGCAGACTGGGTGCCCTGGGCATTAAGTCAGCATCTTCCTACACCTCTGGGCTACTGTTTCCTGAGACGGTAGAGGGCTGGGGGGGAGGGGGGGGGTCACTACAGCTGACGTGCTCTACTCCTCTCTCCTGACTGCCTGAGCATCTGCAGGGGAGGGGTTGAGTCATCAGCCTTTATCACATCACAATTGGAACAGGTGCTCCAAACTTCCTTCCTGCCGGCTCTTCTAACCAGGCCACGTGAGGCGTGGAAAAAAGGAATGGTGTGCCACCCTGGTACCCCCGATGCCATGGGTAGGGTGCTCAGCACTGACCACTTACGTGGTTGATGCTAGACTGGAGGGGCCAAGGGGGCAAGGGCCTCCACTATCCCATCATGGCTGTATTCCCAAAGCCTGCTACCCAGTAGGTGCTCCAAGACACCAGTGTGGAATGAATGATTCAAAAGGCACTATGGCCCTGGCCGGTTTGGCTCAGTGGATAAGGTGTCGGCCTGCGGACCAAAGGGTCCCGGATTCGATTTCAGTCAAGGGCACATACCTCGGTTGCAGGCTCCTCCCTGGCCCTGGCCCTGGTCAGGGCTCGTGCAGGAGGCAACCAAACTCACATCGATGTTTCTCTCTGTCTTTCCCTTTCTCTTCCACTTTCCCTAAGAATCAATGGGGGAAAATATCCTCGGGTGAGGATTAACAACAACAAAAAGGCATTATGACCCAGGAATCTAACGACAAGACACTGGGTCCCAAGCTCCTGCCCACACATTAGCGAATTTGGCCCATCCTTCTCCCAGGGCTCAGAGAGGCCAAGATCACTGCTTGAGGCCACACAGGAAGCAGGATCAAGGCTGGGCTTTGACGCTCCAAGAGTGTCATGAGGTGGGAACCTGCGGCCCCTCCCCAGGAACCCGTCCTTTCTCCATCTGAGGCTTGTCAGTCCGCAGGCCGACGCTCTATCCACTGAGCCAAACCGGTTTCAGCCACTGGGACTTTCTTGATAACAGAGGCCGAGAGGGCATTTCAGGGCAAAAAAATGTGCACGTGGGCAAAGAGCCCACAGGTCCCGCTCCTGCAGCCCCTCACCCCCATTGTCTCCTGGACCCCAAGTCCATGCCACACCAACCCCGTGCCCCCTCTGCCCAGCCCTGGGCTGCAGTTGTGTGCGTCCAGTCCTGGAGGGCTTGGGACTTTCAGAATCTCCTGTGACCCCAGGGAAGAAAATACTTTACACTTGAATTAATCTAGTGAGTGTTTGTCAAATTTCCTGCTTCTTGGAACAGGTGGAACTAAGCCAATATTCATGGAAGAGGAACTGTCTCCTCCCACAGCCATGTTCACAGCGAGGAGAATGTCCTTCCACGTCTATCTCTAAATGGTCTTTTTTTTAAAAATTATGTAATTGATGAGAGAGAGAGAGAGAGAGAGAGAGAGAGGGAGGAAGGAAGACAGAGAAGCGTGGATGTATTATCCCACGTATTATGCATTCATTGGTTGATTCTTGTATGTGTCCTTAGTAGGGATCGAACCTGCAACCTTGGCATATCCCCAGGACCCTCTAACCCACTGAACTACCTGGCTAGGGCCTAAATGGTTTTTTAAACAAGGAGCCTCAGAGCCAGGGGCTAAGGACACGAAAACGGGGGCACAAAGGTGGGCGAGAACGTGGGGGTGAAAGGGGGCATGGGGAAATAGACGGTGCAAAGGAGGGTGGAGAAAGGGGGATCAGAGGGCGGGGACCAAGCAGCGACGCAAAGAAGCGCGGGGAAATGAGGGGCGGATAAGGGCGGGTGGGTGGGAGACCGAGGGTGGGGTGGATGGAAGGGCAGGTTGGGGCGCCTGCCGTCGAAGGGGAGCAGCCGGGGTGGGAAAGGAGGACCCTGTGCGCCGCGGCAGGCGGCCCCCTCCGCAGCTCCCTCCGCGCCCCCGCCCCCAGCCTCACCGCAAGGCCGCGGCCGGCCCTGGTCTCGCGCGCCCTCTGTCGGCCGTCAGTGGACGCGCGACCATGCGTGTGTCCGGACTCGGATGGGTCCCCCAGAACAGCCGCTCTGCCCGCGAGTGTCATGAGTGTCATGAAGTCCCAGGAGTGTCATTTGTGAGAAAATGGAGATACAATTCCCACCCCCAAGCTCCCCCAACACAAGCCCATTGAATTGATGGGAATAGACAGAATTGTGCAGGCATCCGGCAAATTACAAATGCAAGCCACGTGGTTAAAACAGAAAAGCATGCAGAAAACCAGTACAGATTTACCAGTGACAGTTAAAAGGTTCTAGAAACAGTGAAAAGCTCCTCGTGAAGTGGTGCTACAGAGCCATGAGGAGGACATGCAAATACCACTGTAGAAATAACACAAGAGCCACTTCAATATTCCCTTAACAGCAGGGCTTACTGTATTGACATAATCCTGGTTTATTTCTCCACATGCGTGGTCTCCTTCCTTATAATTAGGAGATGTTTCTCTCTCTCTCTCTCTCTCTCTTTGCAATATATTTTTATTTCAGAGAGGAAGGGAGAGAGAGAGAGAGATAGAAACATCAATGATGAGAGAATCATCAATCAACTGCCTCCTGCACGCCGCACACCGGGGATGGAACCCTGACCTCCTGGTTCATAGGTCGATGCTCAAGCACTGAGTCATGCTGGCCAGGCAGGATATTTTTCTTAAATGAACCATTTCCAAGAAAAGGGAGTCTATTAAATATAAACACACACACACTATTTTATGTCAATAGCCCTTGTTAGTCCATGAACAATCCTTAAATTCATAGATTTGTCATCAACACCAACAACGGGGTTCTCAGGAGATAGGTCCACCGGCCGACGGTTCATGTAGAATTTGCAGCATCGATATAGTTGTGTGTTTAGGGCCCACACAACCTGGATCACCCCTGACAAGAGGCATTTTGTGGTTGAAGATAGTTTAGTAGCACTCAGTGGGGGGGGATGTGACAAATCAGAATCTACCAGCCAACAGGAAAGTGAGCTCAGGGCAGCAGGTGTCTGTCCGTGCGGAGGCTGGTCATTCCCTCCCTCTGGGTTCCCAGGCCACAGACCTCAGCCCTGGCCAGGGATGTGACATTGTGGGCTGAAATCTTCGTCACCGTCATGGCTGCCACTTGAACGAGAAGCAGAGCATTTCCACCATGAGGGGTCTTTTGTTGTTGTTTGGCTGGTTGGTTGATTTTTAAAAATTCCATTTCTTTCATCTTTTTCACATTCTGACTTTTTTTGTTGTTAATCCTCATTGAGGATATTTTTCCCACTGATTTTTAGAGAGAGTAGAGGGAGAAGGGAGGGGCAGAGAGAGAGAGAGAGAGAGAGAGAGAAACACCAATGTGAGAGAGACACATTGGTTGCCTCCCACACAAACAAGGGTGGGGATTGAACCTGCAACCCAGGTATGTGCCCTTGACCGGGAATCGAACCCAAGACCTTTCCATCCTCAGGCCGGAGCTCTAACCACTTAGCACGCCGACCAGGGCTTCTGACTTATTTTTGAGCCTTTGTACTCAGAGTGCTGAGGGCCTTGGATTGGGGTGGGGAGGGGGCAACAGGAAGGCCCCTCTCTGGTAGGGATAGTCGCTCCTCTCCTCTTTCTCTCTGCATATAAACCTGGAATTTCTATCCCTTCAGTTCAGCAGACACTCAACTTCAGGAAAAGAGGGGACTAAATTAAGGAACACCAACAGATTTTGGATGATATTCAAAATACTCAACCACAGCCCTGGCTGCTGTGGCTCAGTAGTAGAGATTAGCCTCTGCACCGAGGGTTCAGTTCCTGGTCAAGGGCACGTACGTGGGTTGTGGTTCGTTCCCAAGCCCTGGTTGAGGCCCATGTGTCTTTCTCTCTTCCCTCCCTCCTTTCTACTCTCTCTAAAAAAAAAAAAAAAAAAAGGAAAAAAATATCCTTGGGTGAGGATTAAAAAAAAACCAAAAACTCAAGGAGGCAAAAGCATACAATGGAGTCAAGATAGTCTCTTCAATAAATGGTGTTGGGAAAATTGGACAGATACATGCAAAAAATGAAACGAGACCACCAACTTACACCATACACAAAAATAAACTCAAAATGGATAAAGGACTTAAATGTAAGTCGTGAAATTATAAAAATCTTAGAAGAACCCATAGGCAGCAAAATATCAGACATATGTCATAGCAATATCTTAGCAAAAACTAAGGAGAAAATAAACACATGGGACTACATCAAAATAAAAAGCTTCTGCACAGCAAAAGAAACCATCAACAAAACAATAAGAAAGTCCACTGCATGGGAGAACATATTTGCCAATGTCATCTCTGATAAGGGTTTAATCTCCAAAATTTACAGGGAATTCATACAACTTAGCAAAAGGAAGATCAACAATCCAATAAAAAAATGGCCAAAGGACCTCGATTGACAGTTTTTGAAAGAGGACATTCAGAAGGCCAAGAGACATATGAAAACATGCTCAAAGTCACCAATCACCTGAGAGATGCAAATCAAAATGACAATGAGGTACCATCTCACACCTGTCAGAATGGCTATCATCAACAAATCAACAAATGACAAGTGCTGGTGAGGATGCGGAGAAAAAGGAACCCTCGTGCACTGCTGGTGGAAATGCAGACTGGTGCAGCCACTATGGAAGACAGTATGGAGTTTCCTCAAAAAGTTAAAAATGTAACTCCCATTTGACCCAGTGATCCCACTTCTAGGAATATATCCCAAGAAAACAGAAACACCAATCAGAAAGGATATATGCACCCCTATGTTCATAGCAGCACAATTCACCATAGCTAAGAGTTGAAAACAGCCTAAGTGCCCATCAGCAGATGAGTGGATTAAAAAGCTGTGTTACATTTACACAATGGAATATTACGCTGCTGTAAAAAAGAAGGAATTCTTACCATTTGCAACAGTATTGATGGACCTGGAGAGCGTTATGCTAAGTGAAATAAGCCAGTTGGAGAAAGATAAATATCACATGATCTCACTCATTTGTGGATTATAATGAACAACATA